AAGCTCCGGTAAAAGGAATGATTAACCCCGAATAAAGGACGAAGTATAGATGTACAGGGCTCCAAATGGCATGATCTGGTGATATCAGATTAGTTCGAGGATGAAAGAGTATATCTTCTAAGAAAAACAACCGGTCCGGGAGCCCATGAACTGATCGTTCAATTCTTTTTGTCGAAAGAGTAAACTCCAAACAAACTGTCATGGAAGAAAACTCGTCCAAAAAGTGCAAAGGTACTTGCCTTGTATAGAAGGGTCGACGACGACGGTATCAACGTCGTCAGCTGCGTGGGTAGAATCGTCGTCGTCGCCCTGCATGCTGACAACGGGAGCCATCGTCGACTTCAGCTGGACGACGACGTCGTCGGCAGCGCTTTGCGTGTCAGGCAAAATGTCTGTGTTTTTGACGACATCAGCGGAAATCGCCGCCATTTCGCCGCGTCGCGGGTCAATTCATCTACTTGACAATCGAATTTTAAGAGCAAAAAAACTGCGTTTGCTATTATGTAGAGTGCAAAAGAGTTCAAAACAGTTGGTTGTTCCCAAGAGCCCATTTGAAGGCAGCATTCACAACAGAATTGGACGTCAGGCCTTTTGCTATGCGTGGCCGTTCAGGTCCATGCTTTTGTTGTGTTCAAGAAACCGTCCGTTCCTACTATGATGGGACGCTGTTGAAAAGGAAAGCAGCGGAAGTTTTTGATGGAGGTTTGTTGGCAAGGGGAGGAGTTTGTGAGGTGGGTGGGTCTGAAAGAGAGGCAGGGCTGGAGTCCGTGGTCAGAGTCGAAACATGCTTTTTGACAAAGTGAATAAGATTTATGTGGTCTTAAGGAATATGTAAGCCACTTCAAGAACGCTTTCGAAGAAAGATTCAAAGCAGATGGCAGGTGGTCGTAAGGTCAGGGTCCCTGGTTCCTACTTATACGTATAGCGAATAGGCAACCTAAAGCTGTCAAGATCACTAGAAACCAAATTAGCTGAGAACCCACAAAATGAAACCCCTACACTGCACTTGAACGTGCGCGAAATGAATCTTTATACGCGTCCCGGAAGAGCCTGTCTATCTTGATATAAGATCCGACCGTAGCAGAGATTCCCCCTGTTGGCGCCTCTTCAGGCACGACCGCCCCACTCAGAGGTGGACCTGTCCGAAGCGGCGTGTTTTCCTGCTTCAGAGTTCCGCTTTCCACAACTAATTCATTCATTCCCAATGTTTTCATACTTTTCAATATTGTTTTCAGTTTCGTTCGGAGCCCTAAAAGATTTTACACCTGCTTCCATGGTAAGCAGTCAATCACCTTTTACGGCGATATCAGTGGTATCTCAGAAAGGGGCTAACTACAGACTTGTCCCGATTGGAGACATCCTGTAATCAAAACTAAGTCTTTCCATTCCTGTCGCGCACCTTTTAGCTTGGAGAACAACAAATGGGTACACTGGCACGTGGCGCCCTATAACACCTATGGTCTAAGGATCATTCTCGAATAGCTACTACCCCAGCCGACCGAGCCTTCATCCCGCTTTGCTCGTTCAAATGGTATCAGACTCGTCTGAGAGGATTGAAGGACTCACCTCTGCATTGGCTAGACCTCGGGCGAATGCATTTGCACGCATTCCCACGAAACTACACGTCTGAAGCTTTCTGAAGTTTCAGAGGTTCATCCGTGGAAGCAGATACTACCGTGATGCTTCAACAGGAGCATACCATTCTGAGAGAGGGGAATATGAGCTCAAAGGCATGAAAATACGGACAAACCATGTGGGAATGCGTTAATCTTTTTATTTTCGCCATTTCAACAGGGTCAAAGGCTGCTATACAGCCTTCATGACTACTTCGCAACATTGATGTGAAAGTCAACAGCATTCATGGGCATGCGTTCCTCCGAGAGTGTTGTTGTTTATGAAGTCAAACTTCTCAAATGGCTGCGGCGTTCATATCACCCTCGAAAGCACATCCCGCTATGGAAGTATATATGGATAGTGAGGTTCAAAAGTGGTGGTGTAGATGATAAATGCAAACGAAAATTCGGAACAGACCATCAAAAACACTAGGGGGGACATCCTTCTCTGTGCACTCAGTTTTCGGCTAGGTACGATGACATAGCAAAAATGTGGACGATTAGACCACCTTCCTCCAAGTTGAGAGGGTGGAAGTCGACTCTTCCTATCGTTGATCTTCTCTGTGGAAGATGGAAAGCATGGTGGTTATCTGTCTAGAACTAAAACTTCATACCATACCGACAGGAGCGCGCCAGTTGGCACTGCCTCTGATCTGTCCGCCTTTGTAGATATAATTATAGAAAAGGTGGTGCCATCGACTCCGTCCTGTTATGCTCCCTACTTTGCCAGATTTCTTTTTTACTGAAACGCGTTCCCATTACTTATAAGCCTTCCTATCTGGAAACCATGACTATTTGTTAGGTATTTTCTAACAGGTACGTGAGTTTTTGAAGTTTTGCCCAGCACATGCAGTCCTGCCGACATCAGCTGCAGATCTGCTGGGTACCCTTCGAACAGCGAACTGTTTCAACCAGCTCGAGACGTTGTGACTCGAGTACCTCAACGGATTGTGACACGATGAGCGTCTGGAATACAATCACTTCAAACTTCATTTTTCGAGCTGAGCTTTATCGTGGATCTGGAAGAACCCGTGGGGAAGGCAGACCCATCATAGCGAATCCGCTCATGTTCGAGTCCTCCATTATTGAAATCAGCTACGATTCATTCATCGGTGTCCACTGTGTCACTCTTTGCACTATTCTTCTAATTACTATCCGTAGCACAAGATACAATACTGCTTATGATCTAGTATAATATATGTGGCAATCAATGGGAAATTGTCCATAATGGGCACAATGCACCCCTTTCGAAGGGCCTCGACCTGAACCCGGTATTTATATTTCGACCAGTTGACCCTGTTCATGTGAAAAAAGCTAATATAAAGGGTAAAGGACGAAATCTAATCGAACCTATTTTGTGATATGTCTATTTGACTTCCATTCGAAGTCGTAGGTTCGCTTCAAATGCATATGTGGTCTGTACAATGATTTGTTGTGGCCATT